ACAAGTAAACTGAACAAACCCTTCATATTTGGTGCTGAGATATGTTCCTCACTCCTGCAAATAAAATAATAAAACCACTTTTATTCTTTTTCCATTATTATCATCTACTTTTCAAACTATTCTATCAATAAACTTTTTCAAACAAAACAATGAAAAAAATTCTCAGAATGAGAATTATGGCCATGAACAAGATTTTATCTGGGTGTAATCTTTACAGAAGCCGACTGCCACAACTTTCTCCCGTGAAGCGGCTAGTGGGTTCAAACCGCTGACCTTCTGGCTGGCAGCCAAGGGCTTTAATCACTGTGCCACCAGTGCTCCTTAAGTACAAGACCAGTGAACTTAAAGTATGGGAAAGCACCACAGAGGATCCCCTTGACTCACTGACCACCCGTTAACAGTAGCTATCACCTGTAACACCGATGGGCTATCTGTGAAAAATACTTTGAAAGAGCTGGGTCAAGTGTTGGACAGTTTTTATTCATTCTAAAAGTAGACGTTCAAAGGAGAGAAATTCCTTAGGAGCGCTGGCCATTCCTGCAGCATGAGTTGCTGCCTTAGTATCACAGCAGAGGTCAGACACGTTTGATTTGACAAAGGTTTTCCTCATTTCTGTAAAAAGGTAGCCCTCCATACATAAAGGGCTAAGCTCAATTTAATCAACTGGTTCTTAAATGCAGGTCACTGGAACCAACCTAATCTTTCAAAGGTTAGCAAAAACAAACACTCAGAAAGACAACAAAAAGGATGCATTACACCTCTTCAGGGGCAAGAGCCTTTACCAATTTAATTTCCTGCATGAAGCCCAGAGACTCCATACCATGATGGAAGATATTCCCTATGGAAAAAGTAATAAATCTAGGAGTGCAGGGAGGATTAACAGACACCAAAAGGTAACATGCCCAGTAGGAAACAGCCCACTGAACATTTGTGCTTTGGGGACAGAACTTAAAGAAACGGACTTAAAAATGAACTGTGCAAAATGGAAACAGAACTTAAAGATTTGGAAAATTCTGTTGTACAAATTAAGGACATGTGTCTTACAATGTTCACCAAGGACATGGCTACACAATCTTTTGTTAAAGAGATTAAGCCTGTGATTGGTGGATCTAACCAACTACCACAGCAAAAAACTAACAGCTTAGACTGAAGGACACAGAGAAATAACTAAGTTAAGAATGCTGTCTGCCTCTTCGAATTCTACAGGCAGGAAACAGGAGATCAGCAGGGCTTTCTCAGTTTGAAAGGGTGGGGCCACAGGTCTCCTGGAGCTCAAATGGTGGGGCCACATCCTCCTAAATTTCAAAGAGTTGGATCTTCACTGCAGTGTGGGGCTGCCACCCAAACTCAAGAGGCAGGACTGCCATGCCCAAGGGGCAGAAGAATGGGAACTGCAGAGGCCGAGGGGGTAGGGTCGCCACTCAGATGGACTAGGAGAATGGGGCCGCCTAAAGCCGAGGAAGCAAAGCTGCCATCTCAGAGGGCCTGGAAGGCAGAGCTGAAACCCAGGGCTAAGGGGCCTCCACCCAGAATGCAGAGGGCATGGCCCATACCCAGAGTCTAGAAGACAGGGTCATTGCCCAGATGGTCCCAAAGAACAGAGGATTTGTTTTCAAGCCTTGCGAGCTAATGTAAATCGTTCTACTGCGTTTTGGATTTGCTTGGCACTGGTTATCCCTTCTGTCCCTCCAATTTCTCCCATTTGTAATGGAAACGTCTACCCTGTTCTACCATGGTACCGTCATGTACCACATAACGTCCATTAGGGCAACACAGCATATACATATATGATCAGGCACGCACCCTCCAGGGGATGCCCACAGCCCAATTTGGCAGCGAGCCCACTCCACCACCCCCTGCCCCACGGACTCAAATCACATAACATCCTATTTCACAGAAAGTATCTGGATTTTAAGCAACGCATGACTGTACTTTGGAAACATAACTTTTTGTACTCTAGATTTCACAGGTTCACAAATGTAGAGAAATTTTGCCCCAGGATGGACTATGCCTAAAGTCTCACCCATATTTGATTTAGATGATTCAGAAGATGAGATTTTAGACTTGGAGTTGATTTAAGACTTTTGGGATGATGTGATGGGGTGAATATGTTTTGTATATGGCAAGGATGTGAATTTTGGGGGGTCAAACAGTGAAATGTTATGGACTGAATTATGTCCTCCAAAAATATGTGTTATAAATCCTAACCCCTGGTTGCACAATGGTTAAACCACTCGGCTGCTAACCAAAAGGTTAGCAGTTCAAACCCACCAGCCACTCCACCCACTCAGCGGGAGAAAGATGTGGCAGTTTGCTTCCGTAAAGATTCACAGCTTGGAAACCCTATGGGGCAGTTCTACTCTGTCTCATAGGATCGCTATGAGTCAGACTCCACTAGATGGCAGTGGGTTTGGTTTTGGTTATGCCTGTGGTTATAATCCCATTTGGGAATGGGTTGTCTTTTTTATGTTAATGAGGAAGGATTAGTGTAGGGTGTATCCTGAGTCAATCTCTTTTGAGATACAAAAGAGATTAAACAAGAGAGGAGAGGAAAGATGGGATAAATAGATGTCAAGACATACAGAGATCTCCAAGAAACCAGGAAGCAGAAGCTGAAGAGACAAGGATCTTCCTCCAGAGCTGACAGAGAAAGCCTTCCCCTAAAGTTGGCACTCTAAATTCAGACTTCTAGCCTCCTAAACTACGAGAAAATAGATTTTGGTTTGTTAAAGCCACCTATCTGTGGTATTTCTGTTATAGCCAAAAAAGAAAAACCAAACCTGTTGCCATCAAGTTGATTTCGACTGACAGTGACCCTACAGAACACAGCAGAACTGCCCCACAGGGTTTCCAAGGTGTGGCTGGTGGATTTGAACTGCCAACCTTTTAGTTAGCAACCAAGCTCTTAACCACTGTGCCACCAGGGCTCCTCTGTTATAGCAGCAATAAATAACTAAGATAAGGGCTAATATGCCCTGTGCTCCTACAATGTGACTAACACCATGCTTTACTCTCATGGACCCATAAAATCTTCACAACCACCCTACTTGGTAGGTACTATTATTAACATTATTTAAAAAAGAAACTGAGACACAGACAGGTTAAGTAACTTTCCCAAAGTCTCACAGCTACTAACCTATGGTACCAGAATTCCAACCAACCCAGCAGACCTGATCCAAAACCACCACACATTTTCTCAAAAAAAAAGAGATTATGCCATTATTGTACAGGACGGTGTTTTGGTTGTGGGTATGCATCCTTTACAAAAAGTTTAAAGTAGATGAAGCTAGCATTTTGCTTCCTACTTTCCAACCCCACTTTCTCAGTGGCAGATAAATCTCTTACCTTACTATAGGTTTTGTTCAATATTCCCTTTTCCAGAAAGGCCCTATCCCACCCCTCTGGCCCAATTCCTATTTGTCCTTCAGACTTTATCTTAAACATCATCTCCTGCAGGCAAGCCTCCTCAGACTTAGGCTGGCTACTCACCCCTCCTCGCTTTGCTTACCCCTATTGTAGCACTTCCCATACTCTATTGTGATTGCCCTCACTAGATTGTTCCTCAAGGCAATCTCACATACTCCTAGTGCCTGAAACAGCACCTAGTATTAGGCGCTCAAAAAATATCTGCTTGACAATCTAACTACCTGACTACCCAGCTACAGCTAAAAGAGGAATGTTAAAAGCAAACTTAGTGCTAGCAAGTGCTAACCCACAAGGCAGAGAATAAGTTCTAAGTTTCATGAAATTTTTAACAGACTATTTCTCCAAAAAAAGATGAATTCAAAAATTTAAATAATCACTTGCCCAATTCAATTTCAGTGTTTCATATGCAAATGAATTAAGCACCTGACGAATATTTGTCATAAGAATCCAAAATCAATGATTTCAGTAATGCTATAAATCGTCTGAAATCAGTTCAATTTTGACAATTCCCCATGTTCAAAGAAGTCTGCAGTTGCTTTTTAAAATGGATTTCACTGCACTGCCCCAATGCTGAGTGCTGGGCTTCAAGTGACCGAGGTACCCATCTGTCCTTTAAGAAATTTACTGTGTGTGAAAAAAAAATGGGTTTCCCATACAATTCATTCAACATGATTAGTGTTGATACCACAAAATCTTCCAATCAGTGTCAAAAGGGGCTTTCCTAGAACCTTCCCTTTTCTGTTCCTAAACGGGAAACCAGTTAAAAAGGTCAATCTTTATTAGCTTTTACTTCCACACCAAATAATCCTGAAACAAGAGGTGAAAGTACATTATAAATCCTTACGGCTATGACTGGCAAAATAATTTTCCGTAAATTATAGCGCAAAACAAAAGGAAAGGGAGAAGTTAGACTTCATTCCGTCGGGTTTCAGGACAAAATCTGATCATCTCCCTTAGATTACTGCTTCTGCTCGTGTCTCGAATAGCACTGTGAAGCAAACATGCCATACAGAGTCCCACCCCAAGCGCCAAGAGCCTCCGATTGTTTGACACATCAATGGATTAGTCAACGCGGGGCAACTCACTTTTCCTCTCTAATTTGCTTTATTCTTCACACAAACCCTCAAGTTTACTCTAAGTTATGACCATATGAAATCTTCTCTTTGCCCCAAATATAAATTCAGGCCTTTACCAAATGACTAATAACTGCTGCAGTCCCAACCACTAAAATATACCCTTTACAAATATCATACATCCAGTAACTTCGCACAAATATGAAAAAAGTCAGTCTGGCGCTTAAAGAAATACAATTCTGGAATGTTGTTAAATGCTGACTATCTTGTAAACAGCAGGAACTAAGCAGAGTAGGAGACCTGAAAGCCAGAGACCGGATGGAAAGCATGGGCAGACCCCGCCCCAGTAAGCTCACTGCCGATTCAAACAGTAACTTGGGTCTCTCGCTTGGAATTGGAATCAGTGAAACAAAGGCGTACATTACGGGAAGCAAGATGTCTGGAGTAAAAGGAACAGTTTGCAGCTACAAAGACCGTACACCATCCTCCCACAGGTCTTACCTATGGTGGAAATAAAGGTGGTATTGAAAGCATCATCCGAAAAACGAAAAAGGACGCAGGTCTTCCCCACTCCTGAATCCCCGATCAGGAGCAGCTTGAAAAGCAGGTCGTACGTCTTCTTCGCCATTGGGAGGAGCGGCTCAGGCTCTCGCCGCCGGCGGCACCAAGGGATCGGTCCCTCTCACTACGGCCAACTCCTCACTCCGACGTTCTCAGGCCGGAGGACAGGGGAAGCGTGGGAAAAAGGAGAGCTCGAGAGGGCGCGGGCGACCTATGAACGGCCTCGTTGAGGAAGCCCCGACGGTGGCGGCGTCCGGTGCCTCCAAGGGCGGCGACAGCAGCTCCGCAGCCTCTCCCAGCCGCTCCGCCCGGTTCCGGGGAGTCGGTCGGGACAAAATGGCCTCCCCTCCCCCCTCAGGGCTGCTCGGCCGGGACGCTCCCACGGGCGAGCGAGCAAGCTCTGCCGTCGAGGGAGCGCGGCGGGGTTGAGGACGGTCTCTCTCCCGAGCAGCAACTCCGCGCTAGAACGCGGCGATGGCAGCGAAGGAGAACCCTGGCCCGACAAGCTCAGCTACATAGCCGCAGGAAGCCGAGCCGCCCCGGCCAGAGCCACCTTTTCCCCGTGCCCTCTCACGCCGGCGTGCGCGCTGCCTGAGACGCACGCAAGAACGTACGCCCGCCCTTCCCTCTCGCCCTCAGCCGGCGGTCCGCCTCTGCGCACGCGCGCAAAAGGATGTGGAGGGGTGGCACACAGGGGTGGAGAGTGGAGCGCTCGGTCTCCAAGCCTACTTTTAAAGCCAAGCCTAGACGAGAGAAGGGAGAGGCGAGAGAGGGCGAGGCCGCGGGCGCGCTCCCTGTGGCCGCCTGATAGGGAGCATTGCGTTACGAGCACGCCCTGCGGGTAGAGGCTGCCTAGTGACTGCGCAGGCGCAGCACGGTGGAGTAGCCACTTGACCCTCACCGCCTTCCCGGAGGTCGCCCTCGGGAGTGTGTTAGGTTGGACCGCCTGTCGTGGATGTTGAGCCAAGGTTCTTGGCTCAGCGACGGGCTTGGTGGCCATGTGTTCCTGTGTAGGTGTAGCTCGTAAACGCGAGAAAAGGTCGCGCCCTGGGTTATTTAATAACCTCTTTGCTAAATTGAGACGCATCGGAGTGCCCTCCTTCAGGAGATAGTAGTGACAAGGGAGGCATTAGAGCTCCGTCCCGGTTTACTTAAGGAACAAGAGTCGGCGTTCATGAGACCAGGAGTTTGAAATGGAAAAACTGGCCCTGCTGCTCAGGTTAAAATGATGTAATCGGCCTTCCTGGGTGAGGAGAGGAAGGCTGAGAACACTTGGGCACAGGGAGAACTTACCCGCAGAGTGGAAGCTTCGGTGTGTTGCTCTGCAGGGAACACCCGCTCCAGTGTTTACCGTCCTTTTGGAATCCCGGAGAGCCTAAGAGCTCTACATCGGAGACAGGGCCCCTCCCTGCCCCCAAAATTGAACCACTAGTGTCAAAAATTGAAGGGTGGTGAAGCCTACCCCAACCTCACGCAGCTCTGTTCCTTGCACTTACTTTTCATATGCCTTCACTCCTTGTCCCTTCCCTCTCTCCTCACCAATCTCACTTATACCTCCCTTTTCTTCTTTCTTTCTGTTGTTCAATTATTCATACTTCTACCCTACCATTCTCACTTCTCAGCATGCTTCACTCCAAAGCACGCCTAGGATGTGAGGGCAGAGGAGTGGAACCTGGTTGGCTGGTTCCACCTGATACAGTAGAAACCCTAGGACATCTGGAAAGCAAGAAACATGGACTGGGAGAGAGGGAAGTAAAAATATGCTTTTACCTCCCCCCCCCACACACACAACATGTTTGTGTATTTAGTATATATTTAAAACTAATCTTTCAGGCAGTAACTGTTGTTAGGTGCCATCCGTTGGTTCTGACTCTTAGGGACCCTACATACAACAGAACGAAATGCTGCCCCATCCTGCGCTACCCTCACAATCATTGCTATGTTTGAGCCCATTGTTGCAGCCTCTGTGTCAATGCATCTTCTTGAGGGTCTTCCTGTTTTTCACTGACCCTCTACCTTACCAAGCATGATGTCCTCCTCCAGGGACTGGTCAGCCTTTCCTGATAGCATGTCCAATGTGTGTGAGATGAAGTCTCGCCATCCTCACTTCCAAGGAGCACTCTGGCTGTACTTATTCCAAGATGGATTTGTTCGTTCTTCTGGCATACCATGGTATATCCAATATTCTTCGCCAACACCATAATTCAAAGGCATCAATTCTTTTCAGTCTTCCTTATTCATTGTCCAGCTTTCACATGCATCTGATGTGATTGAAAATACATGGCTTGGGTCTGGTGCACCTTAGTCCTAAAAGTGACATCTTTGCTTTTTAGCACTTTAAAGAGGTCTTTTGCAGCAGCAGATTTGCCCAATGTAATATGTCATTTGATTTCTTGATTGCTGTGTCCATGGGGGTTGATTGTAGATGGAAGTAAAATGAAATCCTTGACAACTTCGGTCTTTTCTCTGTCTATGATGATGTTGCTTATTGGCGCAGTTGGGAGGATTTTTGTTTTCTTTATGTTGAGATGTAATTCATACTGAAAGCTGTAGTCTTTAACCTTCATCAGTAGGTGCTTCAAGTCCTCTTCACTTTCAGCAAGCAAGGTTGTATCGTCTGCATTTCACAGGTTGTTAATGAGTCTTCCTCTAATCCTGATGCTGAGTTCTTCTTCATATTGTCCAGCTTCTCAGATTAGTTGCTCAGCACACAGATTAAATAAGTATGGTGAAAGGATACAACCCTGACGCACACCTTTCCTGACTTTAAACCATGCAGTACCCCCTTGTTCTGTTCAAACAATTGCCTCTTGGTCTATGTACAGGTTCCTCATGAGCACAGTTAAGTGTTCTGGAATTCTCATACTTTGCAATGTTATCCATAATTTGCTATGATCCACACAATCAAATGTCTTTGCATAGTCAATAAAACACAGGTAAACATCTTTCTGGTATTCTCTGCTTTCGGCCAAGATCCATCTGACATTGGTTACAGTAATCATATTTTATTCTACTGTTGAAAGATTTGTCTTACATCCTTCCTTCCTGTCCATACCTAAACTTCCATTACTGAGGATGCTTGTCTTCTCTAATACGTCTCGCTCTTAAGCTCATTTCTCTGATTGCTGTTCTTAATCCTGTCACTTAAACCCTCTTAACCTCTGTAAGTCATTCTTCCTCCAGTTGGGAATGCCTTATTATGATAATACCAACAATTCTAAAATAGACTAGCTGTGTTTTTAGGTGCCGTCCAGTTGACTCATGGCCACCTTATGTACAGCAGAATGAAGCTCTGTCCTGCATCATTCTCACAGTCACCAACATGTTCAAGCCCATCATTATGGCTACTGTGCCAGTCCATCTCACCAAGGGTCTCCCATGCTCTCGTTGGCCCTCTCCTTCACCAAACGTAGTGTCCTCCTCTGATGATATGTCCCTTCTGATAACATGTCCAGAGCAAGCAAGTCAGACAATGTTCTTTTGTGATCCATAATGTTTTCACTGTCTTATTTTTGGAAGTAGATTGCCAGGCCTTTCTTCCTAGTCTGTCTTAGTATGTAAGCTCTGCTGAAACCTGTCCTCCGTGGGTGACCCTGCTGGTATTTGAAATACTGATGTCATAGCTTCCAGCATCATAACAACATGTAAGCCACCACAGTATGAGAAACTGACAGATGGATGGTGGAGACTAGCTGTACAAATCACAAAATAAATTATGGTCAGTGCTTCACAGGTTTGTGATTGATTCAGAGTCATAACAATGAACACTTCAGGAAAATGTTCAGTGTTAGCTTGATCCTTCCTTTTGAAATATATCCAATTGACTCAAGCCCCCATATTGTAAAGCATTTTAGAATTTTTTCTTGATGTAGAAAGTCTAATTTGAGAGTATACCACTACGTAAACTTTGGGGATTGTTAAAAATAATCAAACGTTAAAGAAATTGAAACATAAGGTTTATTCTGAGCAGTTATTCTATATGCATATAGGGAGACTATTCTGATTACAAAAACAAACAAACAAACAAATGGCTGGAAATAAGCTAGTTACAGTGAAGTTTATAAAAAGAAGAAGAGGGAGAAGAATAGAAGATCAACCATTGGCTAATCTTAACATGACTGACTGAACTCTGCCCTCCCTCTTTTACTGGAATCAACTGATAGCAGGTGTCTTAGGCTACTGGATCAAGTCCCAAGAACTGGATGTTAGATGATGACAAGCCAAATGCAGGATCCAGAGCAGAGAAAAAGCCAGTGAGCTTTGCCAGAAAGTCCATATATATCGGATGCAGGCCACACCCCAGAAGATACTCCCTTTTAACTGATTGGTGCTCATAGCAGATCTCATCACGGAGGTGATTTCATCATTACATAACTGCCAAACTACATCATAACTGCCAAACCACTGAGAATCATGGCACAGCCAAGTTGACATTCAACCTTAAAGTCTACCCCTTGTCAGCTTGGCACCTGTACACATCTCCTAGATAATGTGTAATCTCTGAATAAAACAATTATTAAGTCATACCTGCACCTAACATGATACAACTAACGTGTACAACCAAAAATTCACTAGCCCTGTTTACATCTTATATTTCATAAGTGAAGAAAACAAAAATATTTTATGCACACATGCAAGGAAGAAATACTCATAACAATTACAGTCCTTGTTTCTGCAACTGGTCATGTGGTCATAGCTGGTACTGAGAACTACCTTCTTCCACCACCCATTTCGTATTTCCTTTACCTTCAGCGAGCACCTCAGCTGGTCGTGGTTCTTTGCCTGGTGGAGTGACCCAAACCTTCATTCCTGAAAGGTCTGGGCCATTAGTAGTCATGGTGGAATTGGGTTGCTGTAGTTTTCCTCTGACTTTAATCACAGGGCATGGTAGTACTAGGAGACACCCTAAGGGGTCTCCTGCATTCCAAACATACTCTTCTTTACCTTCATTATATAATATCAGTATGATTTCCTCTTGGTAATCAAGACCAATCACACTAGCCAATACGGTAACTCCCTTCTTTGTTGATCCAGAAGCATAAGGAGCCCACAGTGGCCAGGTGGCATTCTTAACTTCCAGATCAATGGAGTAAGTGATGCGTCTCCAGGTGGGAGCATTCCTCTCTTTGGAACTAAGACTGCTATACCCACACAGCATAGGGGTGTGAGGACAGGAAGCCAAAATTCTGCAAGTCTGTCACTAGGGGTAATGGTGAGCTGTGCTACTCTCATTTCCACCCCCTTGATTCTTGGACCCATGAATCCTGGCTAAGGGAGAAATGGCACCATATATTGGACGTTGGTTTAGAGCATACAGCCTCCTGGAGAACATTGCCTCAACCCTGCAAGGTATTGACACCTAGCTGGCACCATAATTGTGTCTTTAGAAGGCCATTCCATCACTCTATCAAGCCAGCTGCTTCAGGATGGTAGGGAACATGGTAAAACCAGTGAATTCTATGAGCACGGGCCCATTGCTGCACTTCATTTGCTGTCAGGTGAGCCCCTTGATCTGAGGCGATGCTGTGTGAGATACCATGACAGTGGATAAGACATTCTGTAAGTCCAT